TCAAACTCCACCAACAAAAATTAGTGGCTACCAAGGAACTATAAACTTAGCATTTACAGTATCACTCATGCTGCAGCTGCTTTTAAAGCAACACTCTTCAAAACATACCGTACCCAGTGCTTTTTTTCTTTAAAAATGTTTAGAGGTACTCTCATTTACCTACTCATATTGAAATACTGCCCCTCAATGAGGCCAAACTTAGGTTCACAAAATGTTTAGGGGTATGCGTACCCCTGTGTACGCCCAGAAAAAAGCACTGACTGTACCCAATTCATAAACACAGAAAACAAAAACAATTACAAGACTCAACAGTTACCTTGATATTCCATCATCAGAATAACTGCATGTTACATGAAATGCTGCCCATGCTAGCCAATACATACAAAATATATAGAATATTTTAAAGAGGTGAATGTTAGATATTTAACATTAACTATCTCTAGAATGTAAGACTGCAATCCTATGCTTACTTCCATGGGAGCAAGTTCCATGGAACTCAATGCAACTTATTTCTGAGTGGTAATGTATGAGGTTGCACTAGAAAAGTAATGGTTGTCTAAATCAGATCATTACAATCTGTTATCATTCAGACATGGTTTTCCTGAGCCTATCTGCTTTCTGCTTGAGAGACACAATGGTATGGATATGTTAGGATTTTTAGGTATTCAGGATTTTGTTTGAACATTGGATGTTGGGCAATTCCCATTATGCATTCGAAAGAACCTTCTGACAGTGGGAGCTGTTTGGCAGTGAACCGACTCTCACAAGAGATGGTGGACTCTCCTTCCTTGGAGGCTTTAAAGCAGAGGTGGGAGGCCACCTGTTATGGATGCTTTAGTTGATTCCTGTATTGCAGGGGGTTGGACTAGATGACCCTTGGGTCCCTTCCAATTCTAAGATTCTATGAATGGAAGCTGTGAAGAAGAGGGGCTTGAGGAACATTGCCCAGCTCCCCCCCCCCATATCTCTAAGGAAAGCTAAAGTTATATTAGAATCTGGGATGGGAATCAGAAGCACTGTGTTCCAGTCCAACCCAGCAAGGTGGTTCCACAAAGCAATGTGGGGCAGCGGCAGGAGGCTTCTGCTCTCTCCTATGCAATGTACATTTTGAGGTAAAGATGGGTCTACTCTGTCCTCCATGCCATTTAACATCTGCATAACTTTTGAGGTGGGGGGCCATCAATATGCTGATGACACAGAGTCTTGTTTACACAATCTTTTGGTGAGAATAAATTTGGAAATGTTTTCCTACTACCTTTAAACACTGTTTAGTTAACTGCTGCTATATCTGTTTTGTTCTGCATATATGTTATGTTTTTGTTTCTTTCATATTGTATTGTTGAACTGTATTTTAAAAGTAAAAAGCTATATCTCATCCACTTACCTTCAAGCAGAGAACAACAACTTCAAAATGGAACCTTCTATCTTGGAATACTTTAAAAAATAAACCTTTCAAATATGTCTTTGTTTTTTATGTGCAGTCCAGAAACTCTAAGAAAATGTATTGCTTTGGGGCAAATATCATTATATCAATATCAAATGTATCTGCTCTGACCAGGGGCAAATATCATTATGACTATGTTCCCAGATACAACACTACATTTGAACTATGGTTAGGGAACTAATAACAGGCTATAGGCATGTGCCTTTTCTATTTTCTATATTCTTCCCCTTTGCAAACAATTTTACCCTGCCACCCTTAACTGTGGGTTTCAATTACAGTGGTACCCCGCAAGACGAACGCCTCGCAAGACGGAAAACCCGCTAGACGTAAGGGTTTTCCGTTTTGGAGGCGCTTCGCAAAACGAATTTCCCTATGGGCTTGCTTCGCAAGACGAAAGCCCATAGGGAAATCTCCGACCAAGTCGGGGGGCAGCGGGAAGGGCGCGCTGCGCCTCTCCCGCTGTCCCCCGAGTTTGCGGGGCTGGCGACGGGGAGGAGCAGGCTTCTCCCCCCGCCAGCCTTCCAGCCAAGTCGGGGGGCAGCGGGAAGGGCGCGCTGCGCCTCTCCCGCTGTCCCCCGAGTTTGCGGGGCTGGCGACGGGGAGGAGCAGGCTTCTCCCCCCGCCAGCCTTCCAGCCAAGTCGGGGGGCAGCGGGAAGGGCGCGCTGCGCCTCTCCCGCTGTCCCCCGAGTTTGCGGGGCTGGCGACGGGGAGGAGCAGGCTTCTCCCCCCGCCAGCCTTCCAGCCAAGTCGGGGGGCAGCGGGAAGGGCGCGCTGCGCCTCTCCCGCTGTCCCCCGAGTTTGCGGGGCTGGCGACGGGGAGGAGCAGGCTTCTCCCCCCGCCAGCCTTCCAGCCAAGTCGGGGGGCAGCGGGAAGGGCGCGCTGCGCCTCTCCCGCTGTCCCCCGAGTTTGCGGGGCTGGCGACGGGGAGGAGCAGGCTTCTCCCCCCGCCAGCCTTCTAGACAAGTCAGGGGACAGCGGCAAAGGCGCGCTGCGCCTCTCCCGCTGTCCCCCGAGTTTGCGGGGCTGGCGACGGGGAGGAGCAGGCTTCTCCCCCCGCCAGCCTTCCAGCCAAGTCGGGGGGGAGCGGCAAGGGCGCGCTGCGCCTCTCCCGCTGTCCCCCGAGTTTGCGGGGCTGGCGACGGGGAGGAGCAGGCTTCTCCCCCCGCCAGCCTTCCAGCCAAGTCGGGGGGCAGCGGGAAGGGCGCGCTGCGCCTCTCCCGCTGTCCTCCGAGTTTGCGGGGCTGGCGACGGGGAGGAGCAGGCTTCTCCCCCCGCCAGCCTTCCAGCCAAGTCGGGGGGCAGCGGGAAGGGCGCACTGCGCCTCTCCCGCTGTTCCCCGAGTTTGCGGGGCTGGCGACGGGGAGGAGCAGGCTTCTCCCCCCGCCAGCCTTCCAGCCAAGTCGGGGGGCAGCGGGAAGGGCGCGCTGCATTTCTCCGCTGTCCCGGACGGCTTTCAAAAGCCTGCCTTCAAAAGCCGTCCGGGACAGCGGTGAAACGCGCTGCCTTTCTCCGCTCTCCCGGGAAGGCAGGCAGGGGGGAGCAAGGACTTTCGCCCCCCGCCCGCCTTCAGAAGAGGTCCTTTTCTGTTCAAAAGCCATCCGGGACAGCGGAGAAACGCGCTGCCTTTCTCCGCTCTCCCGGGAAGGCAGGCAGGGGGAGCAAAGGCTTTCGCCCCCCACCCGCCTTCAGAAGAGGTCAAGGACCTCTTCTGAAGGCGGGCGGGGGGCGAAAGTCCTCTTCTGAAGGCGGGCGGGGGGCGAAAGTCCTTGCTTCCCCCTGCCTGCCTTCCCTGGGGCTTTTAAATCGCCCCGGACAGCGGAGAAGTCCTCCGCTGTCCCGGGCGATTTTAAAATGCCGCCCGCCAGCATTTTAAGATTGCCCCGGACAGCGGAGAAGTCCTCCGCTGTCCCTGGGTTTTTTAAAATGCTGGGGGTGGGAAGAAAAGCCCTTGTCCCCCCCCCCAGCCTTCAGAAGAGGTCGGGGGACAGACTGTCCCCGGACCTGGTCTGAAGGCGGTTTCCCTAGGAACGCATTAATTGATTTTCAATGCATTCCTATGGGAAAGCGTGCATCGCAAGACGAAAAACTCGCAAGACGAAGAGACTTGCGGAACGAATTAATTTCGTCTTGCGAGGCACCACTGTAGGTCTGTACGGAGCATATTGCAATCAAATAGCTTCAAATGACAGTTGTGTTGTTTCACAAACCACAGCCTTTATTTTTAGTATCAGGAAATCACATCTCCCCAAAGATTTGCTTTGGAAACATTTCCTAACAGAAAACATAGCCTAGGTTAAGGTAAGTTCAGAAACTTATTTCTATTTTTCTGTCCTAATAGAATTAAGGTGAGTGCATAAATTGCACGCATATCTGGGAGTAAGCATCATTAAATACAAGCACTCTGATTTCTGATTAAACATGTAAAACATTACATTATTATTAACATGTATCTGCATTCACATTTAACTCTAGTTAACATTGTTATATTTAATTTTTATTCCTACTCCTAAACCAAACTATTGAAGGTACCAGAATGTCATGATAAACATTTGTCAAATTGGTGCTTTTTATTTGCTTTGCATTTTTTGTTGCTAGTTTTACTGTTGCTGCCATTTTTAATGAAGGATTTTTATGGTGGCATTTATATTATTATTAATGTGACCTACACTGTTAGTGTTTTGCGTTATTAGGAGCTGACTTTGGAACTGATAGCAAATAAGGTAATACAAATATTGTAGACAAATAAGGGAATAAATAATTATTAGTAAAACAGGCAGTTTTTAGCAGAAATAGAATTAAAGAGTAAGAAGCAAGCACTACCATCTGTTTATTAAAGGTAAAGGTAAAGGTACCCCTGCCCGAACGGGCCAGTCTTGACAGACTCTAGGGTTGTGCGCCCATCTCACTCAAGAGGCCGGGGGCCAGCGCTGTCCGGAGACACTTCCGGGTCACGTGGCCAGCGTGACAAAGCTGCATCTGGCAAGCCAGAGCCGCACACGGAAACGCCGTTTACCTTCCCGCTTGTAAGCGGTCCCTATTTATCTACTTGCACCCGGGGATGCTTTCGAACTGCTAGGTTGGCAGGCGCTGGGACCGAACGACGGGAGCGCACCCCGCCGCGGGGATTCGAACCGCCGACCTTTCGATCGGCAAGCCCTAGGTGCTGAGGCTTTTACCCACAGTGCCACCCGTGTCCCTTATCTGTTTATTAGCAGCTGATAATATTGAGCCCCTGGCACAAATATGTTGTGACATGGGGGTGCAGTAGAAGGGGGAACTGGCAAAAATACATTTCCTTGCATGAGTGCATGTGCCTTCAAGTAGTGCATGAGGCTCTCTGATTTTCTCCAAAATAAAGAGGCTGTTTTGATGTCATGTTATACTGTATATCCAGTGTATTTTACGTTTAAAATTTACTCCAGTTACAGAAAAAAGAAATCAGAATACCGAAGGATTGAAAACTGATACTATAACATAAATACACTAATGAGGGTTGTATATAGAGGATAGATCAACTGTAAAATACTAGAATATTTTATACGAACATGTTTTACCTTCAAATCCAAATATTCAAGATCTTTCTTCAGCTGGATGTAGGTATCATCAGCCTGCAAATGGAAGTACATAAAAAGAATATAGAACAATCTATTGCAATACTGAACTCTGTAACTAACTAGCAAGTACTTCTGGGAACTTCTGCAAAAGCATATACATGATAAACTAGCTATCTAGGAAGACTTATCATTAACACACTGATGTTTATGGTTGAATGACAAATGAATACAGTGCATCAATGGCAGCACATCATCTTCATCAACCTTACAAACATCAAGATCACAGATTATTTTCCTTTCTACGCAGTTAGCTAACATGCAGGGCTATCAAAATCACTTGTACATTTAAAATTATTTTAAATTATCAAGACCTTTTTATGAGGAAGATATGAAAACATCTTCATTAAATTCACCATGTAAAATTTTTCCTTGATAGAAGTATTAATTGTTTGTTTTAAATTTTTTATCAATGTATCTATTACTTTCATCTAATTAGTGTAACTGATGGACAAAATATTTTTAATTTTAATTTTCAAATAATATACAGAGATGACTACTATTTCATGCTCCATGAGGCACATCTTTGTAACACAAATAATTTTATCCTAAACTATAAACTACAGCTCCTAGCTTAAAACTATCAAATCTGATAATTATTCATTCAAAGTAGAGTTATTGTTATACTGCTGCCTTTGATTGTTACTGGTATATGGTGCAAAAAGACAACTAGATTATGATAAACTAATGGACACACAAATAGCTGACACAATGCTGAGCCAATACAGATACCCTCTCTAGTTCCTTAATATATTTCAGTTTGGGGGGGGGACAAGCAGCATGTGGTGAATTAAGCCACTTCCATCAAGAATGAGTGGAAAAGCTTACTTTTTTCAGCCAAAATTAATAAATCTGCAAGTTAGTAAGCTTGCCTCTTGAACAGACTTTTAAGGCAACAATCACAAAAACGAACATCAAAGCAAAATAATAGCAGTTATTCATATGCAACAGCATCCTATAGTTAAAAAAATGCTTACAATCTCCAGCACATGCCAGAGCAAAGGAAAACTATGAATGAACTGGGGACTTGAACATACTGAAGAATGGGCAAGAAAGCACAGACTTGAGCATGGTACCAGTGAAGCACTTGCAGAGTCACAGAATATCATATACAGCACAAATGAGCCAATCAGCAGCTGACCTGGTAAGAGGAATTAGTTGGCAAGTGCTGTAGTAATTGGGCGATTGTGTAATTTCGTATACTAGCCAACTTAGCCTGATGTCTCCTTAATCGAATGAGAAGCAATGTTAGCTCTTCAGGCTGTAGGTATTTGGACACATTGTAAAGAGGAAATTAGCAGTTTTCAGGGAGAGTCACTGTAGCTATAATTCTTCACCTAAGGTGCCCAGAAAATGTATATTTGACACAGTTAAGCAACCAGTTTGTATTTTTGTCTTTGATTGGAATATTGTACTTTAATGTCAGAAAACACAAAAGCAAATTCCATGAACAGTTCCGCTTATAATGACTTCAATGGCAGTTGAACGTAGGCCACATTTAGAGCCAGGAAGTTCAAGTTACTTGATTCCGTTAACAAGACATGAAAAATCAATAAAGAGTGTTTTGGACTCAGACATCCTTAGAAGTTCTAGTAAATTCAGCTGGTACATAGAAGGGGAAGGAAACTAGAAATGCTTATACGTACCGATTTCCCATGCAAACTTGGAGCACTTACAGTGTGGGTCATATATCCCATTGTAGGCATGGAACGCCTATCTACGTGTGCTGAGTTCTGTATAAATGGAAAGGCAGTATTAAAGAGTAATTTAAAATGGAATTTTCTTTTCTTAAACCCTTCAAATTCACACTTCCCATCAAGGTGGATTGACTTAAATTGCCATTTGATGCAGCCAATACTGAGCTAGATGAACAAATAATCTGACTCGAAATAAGGCAGCTTTCTATGCTATAGTTATGTAAGCCCTCCCCTGCTGTCATGTGAATAATGCATGAAGCATGGTTTAGTTAAAGGGCATAAAAAGAGCAACAAACAGGGTCACCTAAGTGGGCACAATGGACAGACTTCCAAGAGATATATAGGATGGTATCTCCTGGAGCCAGGGAATGAATCTTTGTGCCTGTGGTGACTTACCAGTCTCTGGGTCTCTCAGTATAAAGCCTACAATAATATATGATCTACAGTGTCATATTTATACTGCTTTACCTCCAAAAGACATTTTTCCTCATGATTTTTTACATAGAAAAATATAACCTTTTAAACTTAAAGGGTTAGAACCAGACTAATTTAGTTGCACTTAGGTTGCACTGAAACCAATATGAAGTTACCCATGATTAATTTAGTTCCTACTGATTTCAGTGGGCACTAAGTGCCTTGGCCTCCTGAATTCAACCAAATAAATTTACACAGAGTCACTGACTCAGTAAATGTAGAGTTAACATGTTTATAGTCATGTGATGCTTCCATACATCTGGCCAAGCAACTGGCCAAGCACTGAGGACATAAATCCTGGCTTTGAAAATACAAGTTTCAGTGGATAATGTAAGAATATTGACAGTGAACATTGATCAAATAATCTAAAGGCTAGTACTTAGAAACGTTGCAGGGTAATTCTATTACACCTCATTAGTAAAGTCTGAAAAATATATCAGTAAAATTTACTCACTTTTATAGTTTGACTTCGAACCTTCATGGGTGATCCAGCAAAAGGAACATCTATCATTGGTCTCTCATCAGATGGTTTGACAGTAACCCTTTCTGCAGGAGTGTGTGGTCTTCGAGGTGGAAAAATTTTAGGGGGCCCAGGTGGTGGTATATCAGAAGGAGATGGGGGAACAGAAACTGAACGTGGAACATCTAATGAACTTCTTCCCTTACCACGGTCTGTAAAGTCTGGAGAACCAATATAAATAGGTGCTGTGGGACTGCCATGTTTAAACTGCTGTCTCTGTTGCCACTCATACAGCTGCCACACAGTACCATCTTTGTTAGCTCGTCTCTCATCATGGGACATCTTCAAGTGGCTAACCCGATCTTGAGCATACTTGTAGTCACTTGGCAGATTGCGATTTGAGGGCGGTGAACTTCCTGAAGGCTGCCTGGTATTCTTTGGCAAGGTATGATAATTCTCAGGAAAAGATATGGAATGACTGGGCACTTGGCGAATAAGGGACTGATCAGATGCAAGACTGTTTGAGAAAAATTGTTTCATTAAGTATTAAATGAGAATGCAGCTATTATTAAAGTCAAGGTTTCACAAAATCCAACTTTAGAATTCCTTTATTTAATTGAAGCAAACAAGTATGTGTAGAATCTCATAGGCCACAATAGCCTTTAACAATTTTTTCAGAGTTGACAGCCATTTGAAAGAGTGATGCCCTTTCATGGTGTACTTACTCAGGCTACTTTTGCCTCTGTTTTATCATGTTCAAAACCCTGCAAAATCTGCAGGCAAAATTTGGATTTTAAAAAGTGTGTTTGCACCATGTGAAGCAAGTTACTCAGCTCTTCTTAAAAACTGTCTCAAACCTGAGACAGTTTCCTTAGCAACATGTTGACCACTAGGTGGAGCATGCTATTAAACAAAATGTTATTTGTTTATCCTAAGGGTTCCCACCAGCACTTGCTGCCTGTCTTGGCAGAGCACTTAATGATTTTCTGTCTGTTGCAGCAAATGTGATGTGCTAGATGCTGTATGATTTGTAATTGTATTTTCATAAATTATTTTATTTTTTGTATTCTATTGCATTATGATTTGTATTCCAAATAATTCAAATTGTAACAAAATAGATAAAAGAATGAAAGAAGCGATAAAAACACAATTAAAATAAATGTGATTATTTAACGTGGACATGCCACAGCCACTTGGATGCAGCTTGCAGACCACTTGTGGTCCCTGGACCGTAGGCTGGAAACCCCTGCTTTATCCCAAAGAAAACAATCGCCTGCAGTTGAAAAAAGGAAGCTTTCAACAAGATATGTTCAGTAAACATGCATGCATTTTGTGGAAACAGAAAGGATGTTTCTGATACATTATCATTTGCTAAAAATGTCTCTATCCTCAGTTGAGTTATTTGTAAAATAATATTCTCAGCAAAAAAACAAGCAGATTCTCCCAAGGTTCTACATGACTTGACTACCTGGCTTCATGACAAGATTAATTATGCTTCATGACAAAAGTAGCTTAAAGCCTGAGCAGCCAATTTAACAGGAAACCATCATGTCACATAAGTAGTTTCATCTGTTGCACAATTAAGGAGCTATTGATTTAATGCATCAAATGACTTTACTGGGCCTTTTGCCAAGCTAACATTAAAAATCATTCTCACTTTTTTCTTGGAAGAAAACAAGCAAGGACCGGAAACACTTGGACTGCATCAACCAAGTAGCTGTTGGGTAGCATAAGCTCATCATGCTCATGCTGTGAAGGGTGCCCATCAGTTAAGTGTTAGAACTAAATGGATGGAAGACAAAGGACCATATAATTGTAGAGCTGGAAGAGACTCTGAGAGGGGAAGGGGAAGGGGGTTATTGACTTGTTTTGTTTTTGTTTTTATTATGTATTTTGTATTTTGATCTTGTATTCTCTTGCTGTGAACCACCTTGAGAACTAAGGGTGAAGGGTGGTATGCAAATTTAATGAATGAATTAGTCCAACCCCCTGCAATGCAGCAATATCAACTAAAGCATCCATGACGGACATCCACCCAACTTCTGCTTAAAAGCTCCCATGAGGGTGAGTCCACCACCTTCGAAGGGAGCCTGTTTAACTGTTGAACTACTCACACCATCAGAAAGTTATTTCTGATGTTTAGTCGGAATCATAAAAGATAATGTCACGCTGCTGCTATCCTTTTTCAATAGGCTCCGAGACTGTGAGACCAGAGTCCTGACGGAGGAATGAATAGGTGGCAGAAAACAAATAAGCTCCTCCTTGAACTTTGCACAAATTTCTTTGTACATTTTAACCGGACTTTAAGGCACTCCTTTTCCCCCTTCACGATTTTCCAGCCTGTATAACATGAAATTCACTGTCACTTTTATGTATGACGGTCAGTGAAAAAGCTCTAGTTTTGCAAGGCTTCTTCCTCACTATATTGCTTTCCATGAATACTTTGAATGAACTCTGTTCTCCCATTTCATCTTTCTGGTTATAGAGAGAATGCTGTTAGTCCCAGCTATTTATTGGTAGAGAGATTGAACAGTTTGCTTCTTGACATTGAGAGGTTTGCTATAAAATAGTTGGGAATAAGAACATTTGGTTGAATTCAAACATGTGCTATCAGATGCAAAAGCTGTCTTCCGTTCAGCAGAGGACAGATAACCCCTTTGCTTGAGAGTATTGAAAGTATTGCATAGGAAAAGTGAAACTTGACATGATTTTTTTCCTTCCACTTCTGCAAGAGGTTGTACAAGCAGAAGCATGCTACAGAACCTACTATAACACATGTGAACTACTGTGCTAACTCTTGTCCAAGCATTTGCAGAGCACAATATCCGACTATTTCCCTTCTGTGCAGTTTTTTTTATTCAATCCATTTAATTTCCATTTTTGCGCCTGCTAGTATAATTTTAAAAACAGCAACACAATACTAAAACACAACTTACATGACAAACCAAGGCGAGAGAGAGAAATGTGAGCTTTAACGCCTTTTGTATATAGTCCTTTGTATAATAATGCTATATAGTTCTTAAACTGTCCATAGGGCAGCACCAATACAAAAAAGGGACAGCTGGCAACACCACTGGTTCACTCACAAACACACACAATGCCCCCCAACAATCCTCCCCAAATGTTTTCAAGCAATTTTTGGAATTCTGTTCTACTAATAAAAACAAGAGGCTTAACTGGTGGGACAGGTAGCATTGCTGACACCTGTATTTTGCTCTATTGAAAACTACTACTACTACTACTACTACTACTACTACTACTATTATTATTATTATTATTATTATTATTATTATTATTATTAAATGAAACAAAACTTCCCAACAATGGGGATGTGGCTGCTTTCCAGAATGGAGAGAGTTGATGTAGCGGGGGGGCTAAGGTTGCAAGGGTGGAGTCAACATAGAACCTGCTGGTGTGCTCACACAGACCCAGCCTCTCCCTACTCGTAAGCAGTAGTGACGCTACTGCCAGGGATCTAGCATTGCAGCTCTGTCCCACTGGGTGAGCTGCTTCTGATCTGAAAACAAAAGAAAAATTCCACGGCTCCTTATTGTACACAATAGGCACTGCTGCCTTCTGCTTTTAAAATATTAAGCTTCAACCAAACCAATATATACCATGTATCACGAATGAAAGTTTATTTTGTCGAGGACCAAAGGTACATTTAAGCAAAGGCCCTAGTGTGGTGGGGCTTTTGACTTTAGCCTACACAGCCTTTACAGGGTATCCTCCTCTTTAAGAGTCAGTGGAATAAGAAAATTAGTTTTAGCTTACACAATGATATGCTACTAATCTCCAATATATAAATTGCTTTGCACAGTCTCTCACCTTTGGTCTAAAATCTCACCTATCTCAAAAGCAGCTTTTCAAATGACACATAGAGATTATGTAAGGAAATAAAAACCAGATGCTTCACTATACACAGAGTCTGCAAAATCAGGCCTCTTATGATGTGCATTGTTCTCAATATTTTTGAATGATAGTAATATAGTAATTTAGAGCACAATGCTGGCATGCAGTTGCAATGTTCAAGCTAATCAGCAAATCTTGCTGGTATCTCAAACAGTTATCATGCTTTTTATCTTAGCCCAAAGTGCTAATCAATTATCACTTTTATGCATCCATTATTCTAATACACAAAGATCTGTCATGAAGCATGGCTGCATAGAAACAGCATTTTGTAACCAAGAAAGAAGAAAATGAACAATGTAGATTAATTACTATACTACATGAAATGCTAAGGGAAATTCAAATAAGTAAGCTGGTTTTGGCAAAAAACAACAACACTAATGCATATGGTGTCATACTGAAAGTTTGGTCTATTTGTGAGGAGTATTTTATCTTGACCATAAAGAATAGCTGACAGAATAAGAAAAAAGCAACACTAGTTTTTGTAGCATTATGTAAAGGGGAATGACCTAATATATGAGAAGTATATAATAGCCTATAAGCAGTCTTCACTGGTCTGGTTTTGCACATCACACCAAGCGAAACCTTGGCTTACAACAAATTTGCAAATATGTGAAGGCTTCTGGATAGGAGTTTGAAGCCATTCCAAGCGCAGTCACACCACAGATTTGTGTAATGGCATTATGATGTTGGTATTTTTCATTTCAATCCATTTGCTAATGATCTCTAGCATGCCAGAGGTGAGTAATGTGAGTATCACACATTAGTTTAAAGCAGAGGTGGCTAACAGTTTTTGGTCCAAGTGCCACATTCACTCTTGGCCAAGCCTCCAGGAAGTCACATGCAAAGGTTGAATGTGGCCACCCAAGCCTCTCACATACATGCACACAGGACATACCCAGCGACAGAATCATGCATGCAAACACACACGCGCGCACACACACACACACACACACACACCTCCTTCTTTAGTTGATCCATGCAGATCAGGTAAGGAGGAGGCGCTATCACCCTTCCCTTCTCATCAAATGATCAATCTGATGACTAAGGATGGGAAATTTGCATCCCTATCAGGGCACAGAGCCAGGTGTAGAAGTTTTGCTGCCACTAAAATTGACAGCGTCTTGCAGCCCTCCCTTGCTAAGGCCCTAGCAACCCACTTTAAAGCAATAAAACAGACCATCTAAGCTTATTACTAACCTTTTAGGGTCTCCTTTTTGGACTTTTACCCAATGCTCTATGTGAGCCATATTGTTTTTCCTCTGTGTCTGCTTTTTCTGAGCTGGTCTGGAAACAAATCCTTGTTTATATAAACCGATACCATTCTGCTCCACTAGGCCAGGACTTGTATTTAACGAATTGGAAAGTGTTCCATTCTTCTCAACAGGCTGAGCTCTCTGGGACCGAGACAGACTTGACTCTGTATTAAATGTGCCAACTTCCGATACCAATGGATGTTTAGATTTCTCCCTTTTTGATTCCACCATGTTCTTCCTGACAGCATAATGCTCATCTTCTATTGCTTTTCTCATCTCTTCATGCTTATCATATGCAGAGGTTTCAGGAGATTTTCTGTAACATCCCTTTGCATCAGCAGAATCTAACTTTCCACATTGTTTGCAGGCATCCACATGATTAGCTTGAGGAACAGCTTGCTGATCTGGATTTCCTGTTTCTCTAAGGGGAAAAAAATATGTGCACTAAAAGTCAACACTTTATTTGTTGACACTGTACCTTTAGTAAGTTCTCTTTGTACAGACTTAATGCTTAGCAAACTTCTGTAATGCTAAGTGATGCCTCAGAGCTCTTAGTTTTGTCCCACCGCCTAAAGGCTGATACGCCATTTATGCAGACGTCATTCAGATTTAATATATGAATATTTTTTAAAATCCAAAATGTACTTTTTAACATTGCATTGATATCTGAGACACAAACAATGGAAATCTAAATACAAACGATCCCCAAACTTGCCTCTTTGGTGATGAACGTGTTTGCATAAGAGCAGCTTGATTCATAGCACGGATCCATCCATTCATATCTTCTTGAGTATCTGCACTAAAGTAGTATGTGCGCATCCCTGAATGCTCTGCCTGAGAGCCAATAACAGAACTCTTGTTATAGATATAAGCCCTCATGCCTGTATGGACAGCCTGCAACAGTAGAAAGAAAGAGGAATTAGGTAATTTTAAGGAAGGAGGGTAGGCAAAATTCCCTACATATGAACGTAGGTTGGGAGGTTTTTTTTGTCTGTTTTTTTGGTCACATCTGATGAAATGTGCTGCTTTCCCTCCCATTTGCTTTCAACATTTTATTGTTTGAGCACCCCACTCTCCCACTAAAAATACACACACACAAAAACCAATGATGAGACAGTGCTAAGATGTCTGAATTATATGGCAATATAAAGTATATATCTGAGCTTAAAATAAAATAGAATAGTTTGGTAGTTTTTAAAACCCAACAGGACTGCATCACATTTCCAAATAACCAGGGTAGTCCTTGTAACTAAACAGAAAGTTTTACTACCAAAATCACTGCAGAGCAGCAACTTGGCAGGCTGTAGTTTATTTCCCCTCTAAGCACATTTGTGATAGGGTATTTTTGTGGTGGTGGTGGGGGGGTGTCTTTCATAATGTTGTGATATTGTTACAGAATTTTATTTAGCCTTTGTACCAGTAAAATTAACTCTTCGTGATGTTCCTCTTGATGCATTTTGTTTACTGCAAACGTGACACAAAACAAGCTACTAGCTATTTATTTGCTATTTCCCTTGCTGAATTTATAAACTTGAATATATTTTATAGATCACTGTATGAGGTTTAATCAGCTGAGAAGAAAAGTAGGCTACATATCTTGTGGTGCATAAATGTTATTTTAAAGTATCATTTTGAAGAAATTATTTCCTTTTTAATTATAATTTGGTCTTCGAAAAAGCTTTGTTGAAAGGTCACTAGAGATGAATGAAAATTAATAGTACTTTTGAGCTTATATTGAGGAAAATATGCTTCAATAAAAATATAATGAAAGATTCTATTAAAAAGTAAAAACAATGTCTTTACTTTAAAAAGTAAAGAAAATGAGTGGCATAATCATATGGGATCCAACATAATGGGGCTATGTTAGTACAAGGAATGGAGTTCTACTGCAGCAGTTTTTCAAGGCATGCCCCTAATAGTAATAACATGCAAGGAAGCACAGGACAAAGGCTTGGTGGAAGGGGAAACTGCACAAAATAAGTACAGTACAGCCACATCAGCATGGACAAGGAAGGGATACACCCAAGATGCCAGAGGGAAATAAATATAGAAATAAATATTGCTGCAGAATCGCAACACCAACACTAAACACAACCACATTATTCACAAAGCCCTAACAATATGTGCTGCTCCAAATATTAAAGGGTATAGTTAAATACAAGCAGCATGTTACTTGTAGGCTAGGAGCAGCAAAGGTTTCAATATCAGTCATGTAAAGCAAGACATAAAAGTATAATTCTCAATAGTTAACAGAGTTAAAATCAATGGCAGCAAGAGCAATCCCCCACCCCACCCCTGCCATTGTTGGCAAATTTTGAACATTAGAGCTTCAGAGTTCCTATATGCATAAGAAAAGGAAGATGAAAGAAACTCATTGTCCTGCAATGTTTGTCTAGTTTCTCAGGCCTAGTGTCTTCTCCTTCTGTGCACCAAACTACATGTGACATTAACTGTCTAGTTTGGTGTTGCACTTGTCTTTTTTCCTTTTTATTGTGAATAGCAGCTGATAGGGACTCTCCAATCAGTATAAGGACTACGGTACTATGGGGTCTGTGTGTGTGTGTGTGTGTGTGTGTGTGTGTGTGTGTGTGGCAGTTAACCCTTACCTTCCACACCGCAGTCACTATTTGGCATGGAGAGAAAATTTGGCATGGAGAGAAAATTCAATTGATAACAAGTGTATCTTTTTTATATGTATTTTTGCTACCTCTTTAACCATTGCTTCAGTCACCTGCAGTCATTCAAGGCAATATGCATCAATGAAACTTGCAGATACATATCTGCAAAGGGCTGCAGCTGTAGACTGTGTGTACCACAGGTCACCACAATATCTACTCAAGATAAAAAATAAAAAGCAGAAGTTCTGTTTTGTACATGGCAGGGACTACCATGGGTATGCAGACCTGTACATACTAGGTATTCCTGAAATGTCTAAAGTAGCCTAATATGAGACTGCCCTCATGAAAGGGTGTTACAGTTTAATTTGATACACTGTGGATCCTTAACTAATAAAAGGATATCAGAACCAAAACTGCTTCTGTGACTGCAACATACAGCCAGACAGACTAGACAACACACCACTTCAGGCACACCTACATCTCCTCCAGGCTTCAACATGTGTGGCCATGGCCTAGCTCACATTTATATCGAACCTACCTCCTGATTGTTGAACACTGGTGAACTAATTTATAGGATTTCTGTTGTGGCCTCTCTAATAAGGGAACCTATATACAATCATGTGACCAATCTGTCATGGTCCTGTGCAATGTTTGCAATAGGGAAAATCCATCTTGGTGTGCTTGTCCTATATAGCGCTATAATCAGGCTGCGGGCATTTTCTGTGGTGGCTCCCCATTTGTGGAATGCTCTCCCCAGGGAAGCTCACTTTAGGCGCCAGGCAAAATCTTTTCTCTGTAACCAGGCCTTTGACTTTTAACTATCTATGGCCTTTTAGAAGTCAGTGGGATGTTTTTAATGTATTTCTGTCCTTTTGGTTTTAATGTATCTATCTGGGGTTTATTGTCTGTTTGCTGGGTTACAGGTCAGTTTGGGTTGCCCTGGGCAAAAAAACTCCAAAATATGTGGAGGGAGGGTTGATTTGAAAAGAAAAAAAGGGGGGAAAGGGTAAAATAAATAGACTGCACTGTGCAATTGGAAAATTCTAATGAGAAATGGTTGAATGCTATGTGAAGACATAAAGAGAAGTACTGTATGTAACTGAAGGGTGTGTGTGTGTGTGTGAGAGAGAGAGAGAGAGAGAGAGAGAGGGAGGGAGAGAGAGAGAGAGAGAGAGAGAGACTGTATGTGTGTGTGGTATTATTTTATGTTTATTAAAGCAACACTTTTAAAAATAGGACTTGGGAGATAATATTATATCAGAAGGGATTGCCTGCATTTCTGAACATGCACGAAAGATAAGAAAAAAAATAGGGCCAGTTTGGAAATAACATTAAACCATAATTTAGTGTTATGTGTATGAGTCATGGGAAGCCACTGGCATGTATCCTCCCCACTTCTTTCGCATACGAGAACAGGGGGAGATCAAAAGCTATGCCTTCTATTTTAAACTAACCAGAGCTCTCTGTTACATCTGAGCACAAGCAGAAGAAAAACTTGGCAAACAGTAGAGCATAGATTAGAAAGATGTTGATTGGTTTGATAGATATTTTAATTTGAAAATGTCAGCTGCTCATTCCACAACAGACTTTGTAAGAGAAAGATAATTTACAGACTGAAAGAGAAACCAATATCTAACACTGAGGATGAAATATATTGCATGGTTGTATAAGACAGGCAACACTACAAAGGGATGTATGAAAAATCATATAGAGAAAGATGGGGACCAAAATTTAAAGGAATAAAAAAGGCAACATTACACAGAATACCTAAGGAAAGGAATAAAGTAATGCACTGGCAGTTAAAAATTCACAGGCAAGCCAGAAAACAAATTATGGATACTTAAATAAAGAATAAGGAAGGTGGGGTGGGGTGGAACGGCGACTCTGGGAGTAAAAAAAATGCCAACAGCAGGGTCTACACTTGAAGCACGGCTAACTATTTAGAAAGCTGAAATGCAATATTCAAATTTTTTTACATCATGTAGTGAAAAGGGTGATGGTGGAATGTAATAAAAAAGAGAGGGGCAAAATACACAAACATTTTCATGGGTCTTCACTTCTGCAAAACTAATTCTGAATCTCTTTTTTTCCATGTATGTCCATAACTTCCTTCTTTGTATGGGTTCAGCCAACAGATCTTCAGAGCATATTGGCTTGTGATAGTAAGCTATTAACCGATATAGCAATTCATACAATCCCTATGCTGCCTATACAGCAGGGGTCAGGAAACTGTGGCCCTCCAGATGTTTTAATAAAGCAACAGCCATCTGGAAGGCCACAGGTTCCCTGCCTCTTCTATACAAGCTATAGATTGGATAAAGCCCATCTTCTCCCTGCTGAAGGATTAGACTGAAGAATAATTTACAATGCTTACTTGGTTTCAAAATATAATTATAGTTTTTGACAGCACAAAATCCATCTAATCCTCCCTATAGGATCTCAACTACATGCATTACTGGATATTACTGAGTATTTATTAGATGACCGAAGCTTCATAAATCCACCACCAAGTCCCCATATGCACATGCAGACTTCCTGGAACCAAGTCTTTCCCCACCCCCATTACTGCATTTAGTATATTCTGAATCACTGAACTCCTCTCATTCATTTACACAACAGCACTGAAACTTTCTGAGTAGGGAATAGCCTTCATTCAAATCAGGGGTGGGGAACTGTTGGCTATCTACATGCTGTTGAATTATGACTCCCACACACCACAATAAGCATGTCTAAAACCAGGGGGGATAAGAGTTGTAGTCTAGCATAATATGGAGCCCCAAAGTTTCCCACACCTGATACAAATGAACTCAAATAAAGGTCCTTTACACTTCCTTCAAAGCTCAATATATGGTGGACTGTTATTACTGCAGTTCTTTTGGCTAGTGACAGCCTCTCCATTGTAACTCTGTCTATAGAGCAGCTACAATCTCATTTTAAAAGCAAAAGCAGATACTGTACAGTTTCATTATCAATTACCTAGTTAAAATGGAAGCAAGCAGAACATTGCACGTTTCCACATCCAGCAGCTGAAGAAAGCATATTTACAGTATTTGAGTAAGCAACATGTGCAGTGTTATCAGCAAATTCTTTCCACTGGAAGGGCCAGCTCCAGTGTGATTAAATTAAACTGTCCAAACATATCCAGTTATCTCTTAGCAACGTAGCAAATGAACAACATGTACATGTGTGAATGTAAGCGTGAGGACAATCAGTGACAGGAAAACACAGAAGAGCTTTGTGATGTCTTAAATTATGAGTAAGAATTTCTAAAGCACAGCAGTCTGCAGGACAACACATACACATTCACAATAGGGATGAAAAAGTAATATTTGTACCTATTCATGCATTCAGATGCCCTTATTCTGGAAAGAGGGAGAAGAAAAGGCAGCCTCTCTCCCATATTGCACAGAAGAAGAAATGGAGAGCAAACCCCAAGAGCATACCAATAAGAACAAAACAAGGACAAAAATTCAGTAAGTTAAAAGAACAGAATTCCTAAACAATAGAAAGTTGGCATGATGAAACAAGAAATTGAAGTCCATCCCCTCAGACACAGGCATTATTACTTATTTTCACACAACACCTGTTTACACACTGAGCTCTTTAGAAGTTCACCTACTCAAAATGCTCACACCCTTAATTCCTCCCACACAAGCCCTCAGGGTCAAAATACAGCAGCACTTTTTGAATTGAATTGAAATAATTAAGAAGAATTGCAAAGGGGCTGTGTAATTGCTAGCAAAGTGCCTTCCAGATTTCTCTCTACCTCTAGCCAGTCCAGGCAACCTAATTCAGCGCAGAGGCTCACTAGATAGGAAGAAATGTGTAATAAATCAATCTACTGAACGTCTCTGTAAGTTAACTATTTGCCTCTGAAGTTTAAATTTTAGCATTGCTAAGCAGAGACAACTAAGAAATATTGAGTAATGTACAAGCAATACACTATGGATCATTGTGATTCTTGCAAAGGGAAAAGTTGATTTATACAAGATAACAAAAAACAAACCACCCAACCCTAAATAAATAAGTACATCCTTCTAAATGTCCTATTTTAAAACTGTTCTGGAAGCTTTTTAAAAGGAGTGTTACTTTTCAAGTAAGAAATGAGTTGGATAGGCCACATTAAATCTGACAAACTTCTATTTTTAGTCCTATATGAACTAACCTGGGACCATGTCACATTGAACATAATGTACAAGAATTGCACTGTTAAAATGATTTAATAATGAGCTAGAATATAATATTTCAGCTTTGTTTACTACAAAACACATCTTAACAATTCTGCAAGTAGTGTTTATGACACAACAAACATTTTGGAAAAGGATCCACATAAATTTGCATCAATAATGCAAAGTATGAAGCAGAGGAAAGTTGGACTCTGAAGAATTTTTAGAATGAAAGTCTACAATGTTAACACTTTCATTAGAATAATAAATACATCTATTTCCTAATGACAAACAATCCTTCTTGAAAGTTGGAATGATTTAAGTTGAATTTACTGCCCAGCACGTATGTTTATGACTGCAGTCAAATAAGGATACATTTTAATCAAAGTGGTAATAATAAATCCAAAGGTAGCAGTTGTTTATCATATATACATACATTAAGTTGGACCCAACATTGTTAAGTAATGTGGGAAATTGAATTACTTTGAGCTTACGCCTTAGGATACAGAAAAGAGAAAAGCACTGCAGAAGAGACAAATAACCACACTGTTTGCCTCAAAGGACCAATTCAGATATTACATTTTTCACCAGGGAAAAGAGGGGAAGACAGAGATAAAAAGATTAGGCCATTTTTTCTCTTATAATGCCTTTCCATAAAAATAAAAAAGCAGACATCTGAATAGATCCTTAGAAGCAAACTGTCTAGAAGGATAATTCAGCGAGCACATTTTCTCTTCAGGGGATCCCATTCAAGAATATTTTAAACATGGAGATCTGTGGAAACACCAACCATTTCTTTCCGTTTTCCAATTAACTACATGTTCTAATATTCCAGAATTTAATGTAGCACATGCAATGGATAAGGAAGCAAGTTTCAGCATTTATGCATTAATGTATAATGCTTCCTTGGGTATCCGTATATGGGAATTGCTTCCCCGACAAATGTAATACTGCCCTATTACAGTAATTAATAAACAGAAATTAATATGATGGTAATTGGAGCAAAGGATAACAAATAATTTAGCATTACAGTTTGAAAACTAGAATAAAGTATATTATGCATGTACCCTAATGTTTAACTCATTGCAGGGGCATAGGAAGGGGGGGTGGGGGCAGTCAGCCCTGGGTGTAATCCATGAAGGGGGTGACAAAAAGGTGAGCCCCCCGCAGTGTGCCTTTTTTGTCACCCCCTCCCCTCATGGATGACACCCGGGGTGGACTGCCTCCACTGCCCCCCCTTCCTACGCCCCTGCCTTTAGTCAGAAGAAGGGACCCATTGTAATAGGACTTCTTTTATTTTTTATTTTCAATAAAATTGTATTAAGACCTTTCATAGTACATTACAATAAAAAAGCCAATCTAAACAGAAATAGAAAAAAATAAAATAATAATACAAAGTCTTCTTTCACAGGTAAATCTTAACTTGTGCCATACAGAGAGATGTGAACCCTCCTAGTTCTCAGCTGGGAACTTCCCTATCTTCTTCCATCCTCCCACCCTGGAGATCTTCCGTTCCCTGCTTCTTACACAGGGGTAATAGGACCTATTTTTCAACTTACTTTTTAATATTTAGATTTCCCCACTTTAAATTCAAATAACACACATTCTTGCTATGCTTTTTATTTCAAACTGCATTAAACAGCACTAAACTGATTAGAAAAGTTAGCTATAAAACTAATGAGTGATAGAATTCTGGTCAGATGGTACTTTAAAGCTGACAAGCAATGGCACTTTAACAAGCATTTTTAAAATACTGCTTTGGAACTTCTAGAAAAATCAATATGTTCTTCCCTTCTAGATGATGATATACAATTTGAAGTGGTCTTGATCTTAAACCTAGGATCAGAAAGCAGATGAATTATTTAACAAGAAGAAATATAAATACTTCAGGCCATGGTAGGTTTTCTTGGAACAGCATCAAGTAGATATTTCCTTAAATCCATCTATGATGTCAAATATGCAGAGATGCATACTGATATCAACTGGAAAGAATATAATATTTTACCCAAAGGATTTTGGATGTAATACAAATATGCTATATTTCCTTTAAGAAGCTTCCCTCATTGATCCCATAATATTAAGCTTAGGAAGCAGGTTCAGAGTTTAAGCACTAATAGATGATTAAAGGGTAACATAGATTCAAATATCATAATCAGAAATAGGTTTTATTTCAGCTACTCCGAGTATAAATGATAAATGTGCATGCTTTGAAGTTCAGTCATTGCCTATGCATATTCCATTATATAAATAACCTAGTCTTCATTGAAGTGATACTTAATCATAAAAAACCAAAGTACATCTAAGTTAAAAAGAAACTAAAAACCAAGACATTCCTTGACATTTTAAATTTACAGTTAAGTAAACACCTTGCACATCACTGTTACCTCCAATAAGAATTAAGGATTCACAGTGCACTGTTATACGTTATGTAGACAGACGTAGGTCATATTAAGTTCAGTGAGACTTGCTCCCAGGGTTGCAGCCTTAGTCATGCATAGCATTAACAAAATTCAGCATGTTATTGAGTAGGCATGCAATTTCATATATTTTAATACTGGGCTGAGGCAATCAATGCATTGCTGCAGCCAATCCAAAATTTGACTATATGTTGAAATGACTGACTAAATGCAATCCAACTTACACTTTATATTTTAAAAAGCCAGGGGTAAGATTCAATCACACTACCACCTCTCTGAGTGCAAGTGGGAAGCATTTGTGCATGAGAATGGGGAACAGGCACGTTTCTTCTGAAATCAACTCCTTATACTTTGAAGTTATACTGCTGATCTTGACAGGGGTTTGGGGATTGAACACAAAATGCTCTTTGAAGGGCTGAGGTTAAAAGTCCTCTTCTGCAGGAGCAGCCAGCCAGTTTTTTAGAATGAAAAATCAAATGACTGCAAGACACTTTTAAGACTGTTGGAACAAAACATGTGTTGGCTGATTGAATTTAGTAATATTTGTAAGCCTCTTAAGAATTTTGTTATGCCTCTATGGACAGGGGTACACCAAAAGGTGAGACTATGCTCCCAGCTCTTCTCCTCCTTCGCACAAATAACTGTAACCACTGGGTTGCTCAGTTTAGAAGCTGTTTATTAGGGACATGTTACATCACATTCCGATTTCTCACTGAATATAATCTGGCAGTTTCTTCTTAGGAGGATGACTCTCTGGATATATGCGACAGTCTACCTTTCAGTACTGCACACCATGTTTCACCCCCAATATCCTGATGCAATACCAAATAATTTTTACAGACAAGTTGACCTCCTTGGAGCCTTCTCCAAATGATTCCAAAAATGAAGAACTAACCTGGAAATAGAACACATTGCTTGGTGTCCCCTTAATGTTCCTAAGTAACACCCCATACACCAAATAACAAAAAACAACCTCGACACACAAAAACACAAAAAGGGGGCAAGGAGATGAAACAGAAAAAGCTAGCAAGGGTAGCCTGGCCACAATGACCCTTGAACTGGTAATCTCAAGAGTGGGTTATTGCAATGTATTGTATGTTGTGCTGCCTTTGAAGTTGGCCTGGAAGCTGCAGCTATTGCAAAATGCTGCAGCTAGGCTTTTAACTGGCACAGCTTACGAAGGAGTTGCATTGGCTGCTGATATGCTACAAAACCAAGTTCAAGATGCCTGCACCAACATGTAAAACTTTATATGGCTTAGGATCTGGATGGATAAAACTGAACAGAGGACTTTTCCCCATATCAATCTGCCTGGAATCAAGCTCCACTGTAATGATAAGTGTTCAAAGAACAGCCCAAGTAATAGGACTGCATACAGTCACAAAAGTGGATTTAAACATTGCCATACTCTCGCATTGCAAAAATATAGAGGGCACATTATCACAAATTGTTAACAGCTCCATTTAGTGAATTCAAATTAAACAAGCACTTTGAAGCAAAATAATAATTTAAACAGAAGAAAAACAGAAGAAAAACAGTATTGCCGTATCATGTACTGCAAACCTATTTATTTGGATGTAAACTCCTCTCTACTCATTTAAACCTACTTCTGAGTAGCATTGGTTTAATGATTTAGATAGACAACAGAGAATCATAACTTAGACTAACGTAGGAAAACGCACATTAAAGCAATGAATAACATTGTGTTATGGTGGAACAATAATCTGGTCTGATAATTTTCTTTTAAGAAAGGAGATACATTGTTATAAAAATATAAGAAGGTTCGAAGTCCTACAACTGCATGCAAAACCTTCTACCAGTGCACAGGCACTCTCCAGATTTCCCTTCCAACTGCAACATGTCGCATTGCATTGGAAGCTATTCAAGGAAGACCATACAATTTTGCAGGGAGGACAAGAACTGTGCTGGAAAGGAGAGGTTCCAATACGTGTGCAAAAACTATCAGTGGCTCTTTACAATTTGCTGCAGATATACATGAAAAATGCTAGGAAATGACATTTCCCAAAAATGTATCAGGTTTACTGTTTAAAATAAACCACAAACTTTGAATTTACTAAATTTACCTTAAATGAGTACTTGCGGTTTATATGATCTTCAGGTCCAACTGTAGATATTACATAGCTAGGCAATGGTATACTTCCGAGAACAGATTCTTCTCTGCTGTCTTTTGAATGAAGAAAGAAACAAATTAACTTTCATATTTCAACCGAAACACAAAATGTATTCATGCTATCAAGCATGTATTGTGCAACAGCCCACATCTTGTGCGACTTACGTTAGCTGCACTATGTGTATAACTTGTGTGCTTCTTTGGGGGGCAGTTGGGCACAATACAGTTCCACAAGCCATTTAGGATCCCAGGAGCTAGTACCATTGTTCAACAGCAGTAGATGGCATTTGAGATATAGGCTGACAGAAAGGTTATGGAGGGACTAAACCTTGAAGGGACAAGGTGCACTCAGGGTTCCAGGTTCAATCACTGGCATTTTCAGTGAAAAGGATCAGCGGATAATGTGAAATATCTCTGCCTGAAGCCCTGATTAGTTGCTGCAAGTTAGAATAGACAATACTGGGTGAGATAGACAAAAACATTGACCAGTTTTTCTGATAATTTCATGTGCTTTATTAATGTTACATGTGACTCTCCTCTTTTAGCAACACAAACATTTTGTGCACCTCACAGTGGAGATATCAAGGCCTCTGTATTTTCCAGTACACTGTTATTATTTGTGAGGAGCAGAGAGAAAGAAATACTCCTAGCAATCAAGAATTGTTTGAAGGAGACAAATTAGAGGGCGGGGGAAGAGAGAGAACTGTTGTCACCAAGAACTGGGAATGGCAATTGGTTTGCATAGATGTTCTTCAATCAAAAAGGTAAGAAATGCATAGTTTAGCTTCCATAAATGACGCCCTGACATTAATGCAAGCAGGAGGTAGGGAGTTGTTCTCTAGCATTCTCCCAGACATTTTGAACACCAAAAAGCTCAGTTTCTAAGACTTTAGAAACAAATGTAACATTTGTGCTCAGCTCTCAGTTCCACAAAAAATATTAAAATCAGATCTTTATTCACTAACCTTTGTAGTAAAATAAACAATAATCAGCAAGCACAAACCATCGCCTTTTCCACAATCTCATGCCAGAGCTATCCTAAAAATACAAATAATAAAATACCAGATTTGTAACACAGACAGTAGAAGAAACGACACAGCACTAAACAGAATCTGAAATGTATATATATTTTCTTTAACATATGAAAATATGCTCATCAACAATCATGCAAAGCTATGGCATAACCTTCCCAGTATCATGATTTTCTCATACTACTTCCCAAAAGCTTAATTTTTTTGTTACTGGGCGTAATCTAACTGGTGCTCTTAAGAACATGGAAGGCTTTTGATTCTGCAAACACTTCCACTAATAAAAGTGGAACTTTCGCTTGCAGCCCCCATGCTGCTTTCTACCCCCTTCTGGCAAGTCTCCCAACTCTCTTGAACTGATTTTCAGGGCGTGCTGGGGGAGGCAGAAAGGAGCCAGAAAAGGCAAAAATCACATCTCTTTCTTTATTGCTAGTGGAGCCACCCACTGGATCAACTCTTCCATCACTAATTAGATACCATTATTATGAAGAAAAAGCATATTACAATTAGTGAATGCTAGTTAGCAGACATCAGTAATGCACAAATGACAGATATTATTAGTATGCTGGATGG